GTGTATTCTTGTAACCGGTTACATGGTTCTGTTAATCAGTTACAACTGTTCAAAATCAATTTTAAGAAATTCTTTTATTGCTTTTAATATTTGGTCAAGGTTTTTCCTCCCTCATTCTCTTGTAAATATCTATGCATTACAACTTCATTCATCTTCCAACAAATCTCCACAAAAATACTTAATAACCCACTCATCTGTACCTTTTATAAATTCACCCATATCTCTCGAACACTCTATCTAAATCTCATTTCACCCCAAAATCACCAACATCACCAAAATCCCCAAAACCCCTTTTTTCAACTCAGAATCCATGGCACCTTCAAGAAAAGATAGAGACAAAGGAAAAGTTGTTGATGATTCCACTGTTCCTGAATCCAACCGGCCTGACACCTTGAATCTGGGAAGGTTGGTTCGTACTCCCAAAGAGAATTTGTCCTTGCTTGCATTCAGAAACTGTGTTCTAACAACTCCAAAATACAGTAAAATGTCAATTTTTCTTGCATCTAGCTTTAATTTTTCCAAGCTACTAAACTTTCAAGGGTAAGGAACTATTATTGATGATTATGTTCCATATTTTCCGGATTCAGTCAAAACTTTTTACTACATTTTATCCATTGAACTTGGCTCTTTTGGTACCTCTTGTGTCAAAGGGAAAGATATTGTGCTGACTATGGAGCATTTTGGAAAATGCTTAAGTATTCGCTTTGATGGTGAAAGGATTTTTCAAGGCTTCACTTATGACTAGACCAATTATGAGAAAAGTAAGTATGAATTTATCATAATTAGATCATCTGAACAAGAAATCTATACACAAATATCACGAAACATTGTCTCTGCTCTGAACCGTCAAATCTTGTATTCCATAAATTTGTATGTAAGTGATCGAATGCTCCACAATTTCATTCCCTACATCCTTATGCCAAAGCATTCTAATCATTCCAAAATAAATGATACAGATATGCGAGTGATATATGCGGTAAAGAATAAGTTAAAGGTGAATTAGTCTTATCTAATCATGCATCATATGATGCACAAAAAGAAGCTTACCAGTGGACTTCCATGCGCAAGGTTAATTAAAAAGATTCTCGAGTTTTTTTGAGTTAATTTACATGGAGAGTCAAGGTTAAAAATAACTTCTAAAAATAACCATGTTTTATGTTTCGTCTAGCATTATGTCTTTGTTGTGTCTTTAAGTTTATGTTATGTTGCTTTTTATTCTATTTATGTTATCATTTTGAATTGTACGTCTAAAACAAGTATGTCATGTTTGAATTATGTTATGAGTTATGCTTATGTTATGAATTTCGATTTTCCTTATGTTTTATGTTACAAATTATGGTTTTATTTACATTTTGGATTATGTATGCTTTATTTTTATCCATATATTCATTTTCCTCCTGTTTGATAATGACAAGGGGAGGAAGATATGTCTGTATGTATATGTACTTGTGTCCTCTAACATATGCACAAACAAAGTATCATAAATCTATATTTATCAAGGCAAAGATATTAAGTGGGATATCACATTTATGGGGAGAACTTGATTAATCATTGTCTTTGAGGATATGCAAGCATTTCAAGATCAAATGGTTATCATCATCAAAAATGAGGAGATTTTGAAGACAAGATTCTCTAACATTAGTTTGTGTTTTGATGAAGACAAGTATATCAATCAAGATCAAAGTGCATTATCAAATAAGGAGAAAAAACTTCTTGTCCAAAGATAGCTATGGTAACAAGATTTGGATCACAAACTATTGTCAAGATAACATTGAACCTTAGAGGATTGATCTTATTGTTAAGGTATAAGTTACAATTAAGATTTGTCTATTACCATAGTACTCAGAAAAATCATGCATCTTTCATCTCTCTACTTCAAACTCATTTGAGAAACTTAAGATTTTGTGTATATGTTGTTTTAATCTCATTTTCACATTTTTCTTTAGCTGTAACCGATTACACAAATGTGTTAACCAGTTACAAGAACGGAAAACTATCATTTTTGAAAAATGTATCAGGTGTAACTGGTTAACCAAACCCTGTAACCAATTACAACCTCGAACTTTTTTTAAAATCCTTTTAAGCTCCCGTTGTAACCGGTTATGATAATGTGTTAACCGCTTACCAGTGAAGCAATGACCCTTTTTCACATTAAATTTGATTCTAACGAATTTTAAATTTCATTTATCAATCATGATATTGATTCATGGTATTATATTTCTTCCAAAAGGTATAGTACATGTATAAATATCTAGGGGTTGAGATTTTCAAAAGCTACCTCTTTTAATATAATTCAAATTCAAAACTCTCTTATTTTAAATAAGTTCCTTGAGTCATAAATTTTTGTGAAACTTTTTGCATACACTTTCATGGCATCATTAAAAGTTTCATCAAGAATGTTATGAGCACTTAAGTAATATACTTTGTGAATTTTTTTCTTGAAAGGGGAAATCAATTCTTATATTTGATAAAAGTCCACCTCTTCATCTTTATTCAAATTCTATTTTTGTTCACTTGGTTTGAGTGATCATTATACACAATTGAAAGTGGTGTGCTTTCTTTTGTAGGTTGTGAAATCAAATGTGGCGTGCCTTTGTGTTTATGTTAGATAGTTAAGAGGATCCAATGGATCAAGTGCAACATTTCTAACATAGTAAAATCACTCACAGGATGTGAGTGGACTAGATGTATCCTTATTTGAAAATGGAAACTAGTATATATCTTGGTGTTATTTACTTTAAATATTTATTTGTCAGCATTTTATCATTTACATCTATTCTGAAAAATAAGAACATCATCTCTAATAATCCCTAAATCGAGAAAAATTTGATAATATTGCATAATCTAATTCACCCCCTTTCCCTCTTAGATTACATTTCAGACTTACACTCGCAAGCTCTACTAGAGATCTATTTTTCCTCTCTACTATCACATTTTTTGGGGTGTTATTGAAGTGCAAAAAGTATTTTCAAATACCATTCTCATTACAAAAATATTTTGAATACCTCATTTTGAAATTCTCCGTCATGATCACTTCTTATATATGTTATGCTTACTCCTTTATCATTATGGATAACCTTGGCTAGTTTTCGAAAAACAACACACGTGTTTCTAAGATTACAATTATTATTACATCAACAAATTTATTTGTATTTATTCAATATGGGAAAAGTCAGGACGTTATTGCTATGACGTAATTACAACTACAATTTCCTATAAATGAGTTGGTATTGGCCATTCAAAAAGTCTTAATAAACACCATTTAATTATAATTAATTAATTCAAATATAAAAATGAAAAAAATAACTATTCAATAAATAATTTAAGAAAGTAAAAACTAAAGATGAACCTAGACATAAGGGTGGCAAAACGGGTTGGATCTGCTGGGTTGGTCCGTTTGACCTGTCATTTTTGGCGGGCTGGGCTGAGATTTTCGGCTCGGTATCTTAAGTTGGCCCGCTCCACATAGCCCGCTTAGAAAAGCGGGCCGAGGCAGGACGGAGCGAGTTTTCCCCGTAGGCTTTTTGTTAAAACTTTTACTCTTTTTATTAAGAATTAAAATAACTTTAACTATAAAAACAACATTTATCTCTTAGGATTATATTATAAATTATTATACAAACAAATTAAATTATAATTGTAATGTTCTTTTTATAACTTTCTAATACATGCGTTGATTGAAAATGATTGTTATAAAAGAACAAATGTATGACACGCATAATTATTAAGTTTTCAATATATTAGCTCATATGCTTTCTTTAGAAATAAATGTTGATTTTAAGAAAATGAAGAATTTGGTTAGTGTACGTGTGACAAATTTAGGATTTAACTATTAAAGAATCGGTCAATATAAGAGTCTATATAATGTAAATAATGAGAAAGTTCGGTGTTGATATGCACTGTGATGTTTTATGCAATGTTATTGTTATCGTTGTTGGTTTTGTGTAAATTCTAAATTGGATTCTTTTAATAGTTAGTTTTTAAATAGGATTAGGATGATATGTATTGTTTTTTTATTTTGATATTTTTTTATTGTGTTTGAGTTTATTTTATTTTTTTGTTGTAATTAGTCTTTATTTATTAATTTTTTTAAATTGTTTAGACTTAAGACATCTTGAAGTTCTATTATGAATTGTTAAAAAAATTTCTTTATTGACCTCTTTGGTAATAATTAAAAAAATTTTAAAGTATGTATTAAATCAAATTGTAAAATAAAAAAAAACAATAAAAAAATTGGCGGACTGACCTGTCTATCCGCTAACTTATTAATAAACGATGCGGACTTAACTTTTGAGCTCGGACCTCTACATTAATTCATCCCACCCTGCCCCACTTTTAAATAGATTTAAATACAGCAGATCTAAATAGGGCATATCGCTTGCTTTGCCACTCGTATCTAAAAGGCAAAAAATTAAAAATAAAGGAAAAATGTGTAGCACATTGATAGTATCAAGAAATTCAAACCCCTTTTCTTAAATAAAACATCATACAATAAACGTATATATTTTATTTTAAGTTTATAACTCAAATATCTTTATACGTAATTGCCTAAATTAATCTTTAAATTAAAGAAAGTCATGATGAACGGAAAAACTCTCGAATCAAGTGTACTTGACACAATTAATATTAATTTTTACATAAAAATGAAAATAATATCAAGATTATTCAACCTTCTCAATCAAACTACAAACAAATTAACCCCTAATTGCTTAAGCCAGTATCATCATGGCACCGCAACAATATTGATCAAGCTCAAGATACAAGAAATTCAAATAATAAATAAAAACAAATATTAAAATAAAAACACTAAAAATATATTAAACTATAGTTTATTATAATTCTTAAATTCATTTAAACATGAAAGCAACAAAAAGAAATATTTAAAATATCTCCCATTATTGTTCCACACTACAAAATGATACAAGAACGCATAACAATACATAGTATTGTTACTAATTTATTAATTAATTCTTATTATTGTTCCTTATTATAATGTTTTTCTAAGGTTGTTTTCGAATGGAATATTTATTGTTAAGCATCCACACTCTAAAAACTTGAAACTTCACCCCAATTTTATTACAAAATTCCTCAACATCATCCTCATCTTGTTTGCGAATCTTCCAACCTAATTTCTCAGCAAAATTCAACATCTTCTCCTTTTGTTCACGAGTGAACTTTGTTCTAAATCTTTTGTTAGAGTTCGACGGACTTTCTCCACCACCACTAGTACCACCCCTATTTATTGGTGCTGTATCATGAACAGCACCATTAGGCAAGTCGAGGGATGATGTAGTCTCCCTCGACGAGCCACTCTTAGGGATGTTATCATTTGGAGTTGGAAAAACGGTTGAGATAGGATTTGGTGAAGGGTAATATAAGGTGTTGGACGGGCGTTGAAATTGATCTCCCGCGACAAATTCTTTACGATGAAAATTTCGGTGACAATTACATGCAGCACATTTGAAAAACTCATCAGTACCTTCAACTCCAGCAGGTAAAAACTCGCAACAACCATCAACAGCCAAGCCTCCAATGCTGGAAGCATGATTTCTTCGACATTCTTTAAATATTTCTTTTCTTTGAAAGTTCAAAATAGGCTCCTCCTCAGCTTGATGATTTGAGATTTTCGTTGTTTCAATCTCTTTATTTTCCATTTGCTCGGTTAAAAAGCAAAGGCTTGAAAAGAAAACAAACAATGGAATGGAAAACAACATTCTCTCTTTCTTGTTAATTAGTTTATCTCATATCTCTTTCTCCACCATCACTTGTCTTTAAATAATCTCAATTTTGATTAAAAAATTATTATCTTGAAACTTAGATGGTAAGTATTAAGTAATCCTCTTAAATGAAAATTTATTATTTTATATATTATAATAAATTAATTTGGATATAAGTAATTTTGCAAGGATTAAAATATAATAACATGAACAAAAAAGATATTAGAAAGGATTTAAAACAATTTTTAAATATATTTTTTATTTAAAATAAATAAATGTCGGCAACAAAATCAAATTTAATCAAATATAAAATTGATTATTTTGTCGTATCGAAATTATATTATCTTTTTTTTATTGACTAATAAAGGTTATTATATATTTTTTGGTGACTGTCTTTACGTTTTGTAATTAAGAGTTAATTGATCTTTTAATATCTATATTTTTATAAATTTGATTTTTAAATTTGTCGTTTTCTTCTTCATTAATATTATTTTTTTATCATAATTTTTTTTAGAATTATTTTATTGATTTTTAGTGAGGCCGTGATTATTCGTAATTATGGTTGTTTTTAAGATTTTAACTTCTTTTTTTGATTTTTTATCCTCTAATTTTAGGAAAATAGAGCTCTCATAATTCCGAGTTCAGATAGCTAAGCATATTCCAACTAAATATTATTTCTGTTAGAAATCGAACTTAAATTTTTCGGATTTTGCCCTTTTTTAAAATGTTTATATTCTTCTCTTCAATTTAATAAATTTATTGAATACAAAAAATAATATGGGATAGTTTGAGGGGTCTAATCAGTTGGAATGACATTCATGTCATGTGATGTCTTTGCCATACAATTTTTTACTTTCCTAAAACTAAATGTTAAAAGAAAAAACATTTATTGATATCAATTGATAACATGTTGAAAATATATTATAAAACTATTTTAATATTTAGAGAAAAAGTACACATTTATCAAACAATATTTATCTCCCGTTTTATGTATGTTTTTTTCCTAAATTATATATTTTTTCCGTTTGACTGAATTAAATTATATAGTTAAATTTTAATATTTAAAATCTCATTGCCATTTTTAAAGAAAAATTAGTGTGTAAAAAAAGTATAGGAGTAATGATATTGTTGGAACAAAGGATTTAAGAAAGATGAATATTGTGAAAAATAAGAAGAGAGAAGAAGAGAGAAAGAGAGATTGTTGAGTTAGTTAGTGTAACTAACTCTTAAACTGAAATTGTTATTATTGTTACTGTGGATTACAAAGTAATGATCTTTTATATAGGCAACATGTCTAGGCCAAAATACAAGCTAAAGCCCAAATAACAACTAACAAGAATTAACCAACTAACACACCCTCTTAATTCATGTTATCAAGACTTCTCATCCCAATGCCTTTCTTTAACTCTTCGAATCTCACTTTCTTCAGAGGTTTGGTGAATATGTCAGTTAGTTGCACTTCTGTCTTGCAATGTTCTATTTCAAGCTTTCCTTTGTTTACTTGGTCTCTTAAAAAATGATATCTTCGTTCAATGTGCTTACTTCGACCATGACACGTTGGATGATTTGCAAGATTTATTGCTGACTTGTTATCAACAAACAGCTTCATCTTTGATTCCATTATTCTGAGCTCTTCAAGTAGTATTTCGATCCATGCTGCTTGGCATGCAGCATATGATGCAACCACATATTCTGTTTCGCATGAAGACAAAGCCATAATGCTTTGCTTCCTCGAACTCCAGGAGATTGGAGCTCCTTCGATCATGAAAATGTACCCTGCATCACTCTTCTTTTCATCTTGATCTCCACTGAAATCTGAGTTTGTGTATCCATACACTTCGACCTTTGTACTATTCTTCGATCCTTTTGACAACAACACACCATGATTAATTGTTCCTTTGATGTATCTCAACACCCTCTTTACTGCAATGAGATGACATTCCTGAGGCTTCTCCATAAATCTGCTCAACAATCCTACACTTTGGCAGATATCAGGTCTAGTATTGCAAAGATACCTCAATGATCCAATGATTTATTTGTAAAGGGTCGAACTTACAAACTCATCATTCGATTCCTTCTTCAACTTTGCTCCAGTCTCTAATGGAGTAACAGATGCCTTACAGTTGCTCATATTGAACCTCTTCAATATATCTTGAGCATACTTCGTTTGATGCAAGAAAACTCCTCCTTCGATGTCTTTAAATTTCATTCCCAGGAAGTAAGAAAGATTCTCTAAATCAGACATTTTGAATTCCTGCATTAACTTTGACTTTACCTTCATTATCTCAGCTTCATCTGCTCCTGTAATGAGCAAGTCATCAACATAGAGGCATAAAATGATTCGATTGGCTCTTTCGACATCATTTACATACACTCTATGTTCAGAGACACACTTTGTGAACCCTGCTTTGATTAGGAAGCTATCTATCCTTTTATTCCAAGCTCTAGGAGCTTGCTTCAAGCCATAGAGAGCCTTCCTCAATCTGTAAACCTTTCAATCCTTCCCTTTGATGTCGAAGCCTGGTGGTTGAGTGACATAGACTTCTCCTTCCAGATGCCCATTCAAAAATGCTGACTTCACATCAAGTTTGGTGCATTTTCCATCCTCTATATACAGCTATCGAAACAATAGTCCTGATTGTTCTGATCCTAGCAACAGGCTCATACACTTCATCAAAGTCAATACCTGGTTGTTATAGAAAACCTCTGGCCACCAGTCTTGCCTTGTACTTTGCAATCTCACCATCTGGACTTCGTTTCACCTTGTAGATCCATTTCACATCTATTGGTTTCTTGTTGGTTCTTTCGAAAAGCTCCCAAGTGTTTTTCTTCTGAATGGCTCTAAGTTCTTCTTTCATGGCTTCACACACCAATTTGAATTGCTCAAGGCTTCACCCAAGTCAATTGGTTCTGCTTCAGCCATTGTCATGGCTTCTTCAATTAAGTCACCATCAGCATCTATTGCTTGATCTGGAAACCTCTCATATCCAGTCAGCCTGGTTGACTCAGTTCTTGTTCTTGTGGATCTTCTTTCGTTCTGCACAGGTGGTTCTTCATTTTGACCAGTCAAAGTATCACCTTGTTCATTTTGACTTGTTGAAGCTTCATCTTCTTCGAACAAAGTTGTGACTGTGTCTGATTCTTGTTGAACTTCACTTCAACTCTAATCATATCCTTTGCTTTCGTCTACATGAACATCTCTAATGATCACTAGTTTATCTTTGATTGGTGAATACAATTTGTATGCACCAGTCGAATGATAACCTATGAGCATCATGACTTCACTTCGATCATCCAGCTTCTTTCTCAATTGTTCTTGTACATGCCTGAAACACATTAATCCAAAAATTCTAAGATGACTTACATTTGGCTTCGACCCTGTCCAAGCCTCATGAGGTGTCTTTTCGACCATCTTCTTTGTTGGGCATCTGTTTAGAATGTATAATGTTGTCGAAGTTGTTTCAGCCCAAAATCTCTTAGGCATTATTCTTCGCTTTCAACATACATCTGGTCATGTTCAGTACACTTCTATTCTTTCTCTCAGCGGTGCCATTATGCTAAGGCGTATAGGGTGCAACAACCGCATGCTCTATACCTTTCTCATTGCAAAAATCTGGCAAATTCTGCTGAAGTATATTCACCACCACCATCAGTTCTTAACTTTTTCAATTTGCAGCCACTTTGTTTCTCAGCATGCAACTTGAACTTCTTGAACTGTGTGAATACCTCACTCTTCCTTTCAATGAGGTAAATCCACATATGTATGGTGAATTCATCAATGAAAGTAAGGAAATACATGTTACCTCAATTGGACTTTACTTTGAAAGGTCTACACACATCTGAATGAACCAGCTCCAGTTTTTGCCTTGACCTTATAGGAAAATCACGTTTGAATTCCTTCCTTGCCTGCTTAGCTTTGCAGCATTCTTCACTTATCTTCTTTGGTTCCTTCACATACGGTAACCCAAACACCATTTTCTTCTGATTAAGCATACCTAAACTTTTGAAGTTTAGATATCCATACCTGTGATGCCATAGCCAATTCTTGTCTTCTTCTGCAGTTGAAGTAAGACATTTGTCATCTGATGTATTGAGTTCGACTTTGAAGGTTTTGTTCTATGCCAATGGTGCTGTCATGATTAACCTCCCATCATCCCTATATACCTTCATCTGATTATACTCCAACTTCATATTGAAGCCTTTTGCAAATAATTGACATACACTTATCAAGTTACTTGTCATCGAAGGTACATACAGAACTTCAGTTATAGTAGCCTTTCGACCATCCTTCCTGATAATTGAAATGTCTCCTTTACCACCTGATTTGATATGCCTTCCATCTATTAACTTTATGACCTTTTCGACTGACTCATCTAACTTGGTAAACCAGTTTTTATTGCCAGTCATGTGGTTGCTACATCCTGGATCCAGATACCACATGCTTTTTTTCAGTGTTCGATTGAGTGTTCACCAGCAACAAAACATCATCAGAATCACTACTTCCAGCTCATGCATATTTAGCTTCATCACTATCTTTCGACCTTGAATCTTTCTTTCTTCGACAATATCTAGCATAGTGGCCAAATCTTGACAATTATAACATTGCACCCCTTTCGTGTTAACTTTCTTCCCATAATACTTGTTGCCCACTCCTTTTGAATCAGTATTCTTGCTTGACTTCTCATCACCAGTAAGATTCTTACGCTGCTTCAATTTCTCTTTTCCAGCTTTCTTGCTGAATCTTGATTGCAATGCTTGTTCAGCTGTCTTCTCCCTTTCTGAGTTTCTTTGCTGCAGCCTCATTTCATGAGCCTCCAAATAAGCTTCAACTTCTTCCAACTTCATCTCAGATAGATTCTTGGCCTCTTCGATTTTTACAACAAAGTAATCAAAATCTGCAATTAGAGATCTTAATACCTTTTCTATCTTCTGCAGATCCGTTAGCGCTTCACCATACACCTTCATCTGGTTTTTTAGCATCACCACTCTTGAGAAAT